AGAATACAATTAAACCACTTGCACAGATAAAAAAAAACATTAGTAAATGCGGCAATCAATGAGAGACTAAAGACAACTATATTAAAGACATTAAACAATTACAGAGTATTTACGATGATTACAACACTCAAAGCAAAAACAAATGTATCCACATCATGTTCCACATAAAAAATAAAAGAGCCACAATACAAGCAACAAGCAAAAAACTAAAGACATTTTAGAGATTTTCCATAGAGTACATATGTATGCAACAAATTTCTCCGTCGGTCCTCAGTCATATCATCTGAAATTTAATCCCAAACAAATATGTAAAGGAAAAAATAGCAACATTCTACGCTAATCTAGAAGAGCACAACGCACCCTTGGCATGGCGTGACTCAGCCCAGACTGTGTGTGTTCCCCACTGCATTCAACCGCAATCTGCAGCTGGCAGTACAGCCAGCTGTTTCAACGCACCACCACACACCGACACGCTCTCAGACAAGGCCTCAAAATTTTCCATTCATAAAAACCAGAACATCCAAATCCAAGTGCTATGTTACAGCCCCACCTCCTTTTGGTCAAATCAAACATTGGGACCCAACCATCCCCCCTCCCCCTTGCAAAACTACTCCAGGAGGTAAATAAACACAGGGCTCATTTAGGCCCCTGGCTGGGTGCACACAGAGTAAACTGTTAGGGCCAGAGGCACTAGAGTACATAAAACAAGCCTGGCGGGCTGGAGAGGGAGGGAGGGAGGGAGAGAGAGAGAGAGAGAGAGAGAGAGAGAAAAAGAGAAGCAGAGAGTGAGAAACAGAGAGAGTGAATGAGAGAAGGGGTTAAGGGAGGGGATCCAGAGAGAGAGAGAGTGGGGTAAAACAACAGAGGAAGGGGAAAGGGAGGGAGAGAGAGGAGGGAGAAAGAAAGAAGCAGAGAGCAGGAGAGATGAAAGCTGACAAGAGAAAAATGCATTTTATATGCTGCCATACAGTATATAATATATATTTCAACATTTTCTATTAACATTTACTGCGTGCATTTGATGACATTGGATATCATGACGTAATGAATAGAACTAAAGTGAATTGGAAAAGAAGTGAAGAAGAAGGAAAAGATTTGGGGTAATGGACCGGGGGCCTGAGACGGGCTGAACGCTCCCAGGCCAGGATAGATAAACACAGTGGTCCTGATACCAGAGCAGAGGGAGGACTGCATGCTTGTGAACAGTGTAGATGAATAACGAGGTGACGCAGCAGGCACAGCCGACCACTGCAAGCATGGTAACAGGATTTAACGCAGTCCGTCACGCTTCCGCCCACATAACAGTGGCCTGGCTACTGTATAATTACTCATGTAACTACTGTGTAAACACTGTCCAAGCATAGTCAATTAAATTAAATGTGGTTTTATTTACAATGTCCTCTGGACTTCAAGTGTCCTTGCATTCTACTTTATGCAGTAGCAAAGTGTCATTTTAGAAAGAATAGGGTCACTGTCAGGTAAAATATAAACCATAATTATTTCAATTAATGTGAATGAAAAGTATCTGTTGTTTGGTATGAATTTCCGATTCCTCAAGTCCGAAGATCGCTGATATTAAGTATCAAATCTTAACACTTGGAGATGTAATCACAGTCAGAGTCATACCACATGACCAGAATCCCAAAGTGTATAATCAAAACCACAAAGCAATTATAACCACACTATGCACAACCAGAAACATGCTGTGAAATCAAAACCATACACTGCGCAATCACAACCACACAGCACAATCAGAACCACAATACAATCAGATCCACTCTGTACAATTAGAACCATTATTTATAATAAGAACACTGTGTTTCATCAGACAACCAGAATCGCATTGCGCAATCAAATGTAAAACACTATTTGCAAATTCATGACAGACCACAGTACTCAACAAGAAAACAAACAAAAGTTTACTTTTCTGATTACTAAAGAAGCACAACTCTACCAAAGTCCACCATATTATATCAGTGAAGAATAATTTTTAACTATTCTTTTAAACAATTCAGTATCACAAATAAAAAAATACAATGACTTATATTACTGATATGTCCACCGCCTGTCATATCTCAGTGAATACGCACTAGCCCAGTCTGTCTAATTAATATAACTCCTCAGGCTGCTGTAGTATATTTGAAGCCCGGAGCAGAAGATATAAATTCTTTGATGATGCAGAAATTTTTCCCCATGATGGAAGACAATATCTATGCAATGGGCTGGTCCTGCATGCAGATATCAGCACGCTAATTTTCTCCCACCTTACCTGTTATTGTTGCAAAAGTTCTGGCAGCTCATACAGTCAGAAGGATCTGATTGGGGCAACGCAGAGTATATCCCTCCCCCCTGCCAATGAAAACAAGAATACAAACTGTGGGAGGCGCCCCTTTGACAGCTGCTGTGAATGTAACCGATACAAGGCCTAATTATACAGGTATATGAACACAAAATTCACTCTTATATACACAAACTTCAAGTGCCAATTCAACACAACCGGAGTACACACAGAGGAGCCAAAACATTTAGAAACTGGAAAAAATATTTATTTTTTGGCTCTGTAATCCAGAATATGGGATTTGAAAATGATGAAGAGGAGGTTATAACTAAAACTGTTTTCACATGGGGCGCGAAACTAATTTTTTGCACCACAGATTACATTCAAAGTCAATGCAAAGACGCGAATACGCGTGTTTCGCGTCTATTCGCGTCTTTGCATTGACTTTGAATGTAATCTGTCCTGCGAAAAATTTGTTCCGTGTCCGGTGTGAAAGCAGCTCAAGTCAGATTTAATTTGAGAACTGTCACATCCATACCATGTGACAATTGCAGCCCTTCTGCCAACAGTGTCACTGCCCAGATACTAATCACCCGAGCTGCCTGAATCCAATCAGAACCATTAAAACTCTGTGAGAGTTGATTGTACCATTTTTTGGAGCTGACATTGAATATCAGCTCTTTTGCTATACTGTAAAGTTTCTGAGTGACAGTACTACCGCTAAAAAGTGCCTCACAAATAAAATGGAATTGACTTTAACACTAAACAATTTGTCGTTGAACACCAAGTTACATTTACTCTTTTGACCAGGCTCAATCCCAGCCTGCATCCATTCACAGGGAAATAGAGTAAAGGCTCACGTTGTGGGGGTGGGGGTGCTGGTGGGGGTGCTCATAATCCAGAGCGGTGTGGGGCAGGGTGCCGTCATGGCTGTGGTTGTGGTTGAGGGTGGGGGTGTACATCCCCCCTGTCCCGTTCAGCAGGGTCAGGCCGTTGGGCATTTTGTGGTGAAGGTGGGGGCAGCCAGAGGGCGCCCCGTGCCCGTACCCCCCGTGGTGGACTCCTCCGTTGATTCGGCTGGTGCCCGGCAAGGTGGTGTACTCCAGGACGTGCCCGTTCATTTCGGCTGGCTGGTACAGGTAGCCAGGGGGGTCATACTCTAGATGGGCAATAGAAGGGAGGCTGAGAATTCTGTCCAAATTTTGTCAATTTGCAACAGGAATTCAACAGTTTAGCAATTAGCCATATGTCTGTGAGCACTTAGTCCACAACACAAGCTTAAAGGGTTCTAATTCCTATATGGTTAATTTCTTGTATATAAAACAGATGATGCAGACTGCCAGATTTTATTTAAATCCACATGAACTGAACCATCTAGGTATTACTGCCTTTCAAAATTATGTCGCTATCCAAATATGTACTGGATTCACTGTACATCAGGACAATGTTCTGAAGTTCTGCTGGGCTCAGAGTGCATTACTGAAAATCTTGAAAAGACACTGATCTGCATGAAATAAAGTCAAAAGTGGAACTGGCCTGGGTCCTCCTTAATACGCCATCACTTCAACAGACACCAATAAAATCTTGCAGGATACTGAAAATTAAAGGTGCGTTCAGTACTAACTGGCTGTATCGGCAGAGCTTGGCTCTGAAAGTGGCCAACAGCTGCGCAGCCTCCAGCAGTCATGTGGGGATGTACCTCACCATTTGGAAGTTTTTTTTCCCCCCTAGGATGGCGAATGCAAGACCCTCCCAACTCTTCCTCTGCTTAGCTTACCCATAACCATCACCAATTTCACTCCCCATGCCTGAATCTAACCAACCCAATCAACGAAGGCAACGAGTCCTACCCACGTCCCCATGTCTTAAAAAATTCAATTACTGAATGGTGGTAAATGTGAAGTTATTTCTTCGCCTATAGGGCTCAAATATTGGAGCGCTCTTATAGGTTCTTGGTATCAGCAAGTACCCAAAGGTGATGTAGCATCGGTGCATCCCCGAAGAAAACCTGTGTAGGCATACTTTTCTACACACAGTAAACTGATCAAAAATCACCATGAAAATCCTTAAAGAGTTAAATTGATGAGCAGAATCAATAATGGCATTGGTATCAATACAACAAATCCTCTAAATTTCCATTCCAAACCAAAACAAAAAATAAGTGATTAATTTAAAAAAGATGCTGAAACAAAGCAGCATTAGAGCAGATAACAATTCTTCAGCCAAATAGCAATAATTTCCACAAGAGGTATATAAATAATCTCACGGACTGCTTCATTTGTAGGGTTCTGTCTTGTATACTTACAGAGTCCCTTCAAGAAATTTGCTTTCACAGATTCGACACTGTGCCCAGGGTTGAAAGTAGGTATCGCACCCACGTGTGCGTGTTTCAACAAAACAGTCAGTCAGGGCATCAGATAGGGACACACTCTCACCTAGGCTATACCCCCAGGGTTTGGAAAATAATGACTTCAAGGGCAACTACATCTGTACTCTTTTCCATATTTTTTATGGAAATGCAAACTCAACTATTAACAAAGAGCAGTGACTCCCTCCCCTGCCTCCACACATGCAGTTCGCTGACAGTGTAAGCATGGACAGTAAGAATAGTGTTAGCTTAGAAGATTTGAGCTTAGACACTTCGTTGGAAAAAGGTTCTAAAAATGCTACTAGCTTATCAACAATTTATACCGACACTGCACAAGACTGGGTCAGAAAGCCTGAACCCGAGCGAGGATCGAACTCACGACTTAGGGATTCCACATCACCGCTCTACCAACTGAGCTACCAAGTCCAGTTGGGAGCAGTTTGCAAGTTTGACTTCTCAAGACCACAATGCACATGACATATTGTCACGATGAACATTTGGAAGATAAATTAATTCTCTGAAGACAGTGTTTTGATTCCATATTGGGGTCATCTTCAGGGATTAGTTGACAATTTATACCGACACTGCTCAAGACCGCTTACAATAACATGGAAATCTGCAATTATACAACTAATCAACACATCATTGGCATGATTACTGGTGTTTCTCCTGACCCAAAGCAGACAGAGATACAGTCTGGAGCACACGAGGGACACACAGACAGGACACAGGATGGAGAGGACTCGTGCAGAGGACTCACTCTGGAGGGACACACAGACAGGACAGGATGGAGAGGACTCGTGCAGAGAACTCACTCTGGAGGGACACACAGACAGGACAGGACGGAGAGGACTCGTGCAGAGGACTCACTCTGGAGGGACACACAGACAGGACAGGACGGAGAGGACTCGTGCAGAGGACTCACTCTGGAGGGACACACAGACAGGACAGGACGGAGAGGACTCGTGCAGAGGACTCACTCTGGAGGGACACACAGACAGGACAGGACGGAGAGGACTCGTGCAGAGGACTCACTCTGGAGGCTGCTTTGCTGCCGATTCCTCCACAGACACATGGCGATGAAGACCAGGAGGATGAGCACCATCACGCCGAGAACACTGCCCACGATCAGGTACAGCAGGCCCCCCGGTGCCGAGGGGGGGTCCTGGGGATAGGGCCCCGGGGGTGTGACCGGGTTTGGAGGAGGTGCTCCCGGAGCGAGGCGAGCTACGAGGGGTCAGAGGGGGAGAAATTGGGGAAAGGTTCATAAGAACTCCGCTCAGCTCAGGACAGTGGATCCTCAATCCCAAATAATTCTTCATTCCACTGAAAATTTATCAGTTACTTATTTTTTAATGGTTGTTTTCCTTGCTAAGCAGTTAATGGCATCACTGCGCTGTAGTTGACTTATTCAAGTCATCTAATAGGCAGTGTGCTAGCGCTCCTGACTGAATTAACTGATGCATAATCTGAATTGTACTATATCTGCTCTTGGTTGTGCAGTTGTTCCAATTATGCTCTGCATGCACTTACTGCATGTCACTTCAAATAAGAACTCCCGCCAAACAAATGTAAGGTAATGTTACATCATGTAATTCCTGATCCTGGAGAGCTAGCAGGTCTCGTGGTTTTGTTGTTCTTGCTTGAACCCCTTTAACTAACTTTTCACTTATGTTTTCTAAGTGAAAGCAGATTCAAAGTATTAAAAGGCATTTGTGTCATGTTGAAGGACAATGTCACACTCATATTCTGAATCTGCGGGTTGCAACACTTCACTGAAGCTACATCACACTTAAACTGAGAGAAATATTCAAAACCTGGATGCAATGTTTTTATGATCACAGCATTACATCAAATGGAAAATGACTAGATCTTGTACATCATTTTATACACATTTCCCTGTAATTCAGCCAGACATATTCGGTATCATTGGAGACCTGGGGATCTCCACTAAAATTTGAAATAGGCATTAATTTCCACAGGTTTAAATACAGCAGCTGCATTTTACAGACCCTTATATGGTCCAGTTGGTTTTATGGGGACAGTATCAGCAACTAATTAAGATCTGAGTAATCAGTTGAGGTCATTAACTGCGCAATTAACAGCTTTAACAACAAACATCCGCAGACCTGGCTGATTCTCCAGGACCAGGAATGATGAACACTGACGTACACCTGCAACAAGGACTGCTCTGCTGCTCTAGCCTCCAAACACAGGGGCAAAACACTGCGGAAAGTTCAGGTGATCTTAATATCCCCAAGTTTGTTTTAAATGTTCAGTGGCATATTTGGGCCAGTATTCTAGTTAGGGATAGTAAGAGGATTTTTTTCCCGGTTAGACCTCCATGCTAGTAATCACTCAGGTTTATTCGTCCTCCCCCTCTTTTACAAGACAGCCTTTTTTTTTTTATTTACAGGCCAAGGAGATATTTTTATCTCAAATTTTTTTTATTTGTTTTTTTACATCTGAATTTCACACCTATGCCAATTTAACTCCAATCCTGTTCTAATTTGAATTAATAATCAGTCATGCCAATAAATGTAAGAGACAGATGACTCAAGCCCTTCAGTAAAACAGAAAGTAACTTTTTCTTCATAATTAATAGCAAACGATAAACACTTTAAATTTCAAAGCCCTTCAGTACCTCGGACAAAGAGAAATCCCTTGCCAAGTATTGACATGATCTAAAATGCTGGTTTGTCCATTTATAATTATTTTCAAAACACTAATTAAACATGAGTGAAAATGTACATTCAGTGTAAAACACCTGTTTACATGGTGAATAGAGGTCAATTGACATTCAGTGAATAGGACATGGCGCGACACAATGCCTGCAAACAAGATCTCATTAAATTGAAAATCAGAAGGAAATGCATTCCTTCATTTGCGGTACAAATGGACAATAAATTAAGTATATCTATAAGGTTTTGAACGCAATTTCTTTGATTTAATCGTAAGCCATATTTCGACGATCTTTTGAAAAACTTCAATAATAAAATATAATTCTGCATGATCAAAAAAATTAAATGCTTGCATCTGTGCTTGTTTTACAAAAATGAGATTCTTTTGAAAGCAATTGACAATGCTGCAAAAATTCTATGAAAATAAAGTAAATGAGACTGTTGTAATATAATTGTTGGGTTAGAATCAATTCTGTCAGTGCTTGTGTGTTTGACCACTGCCCAATATTTGCAAAACGGTGAACTACAGCAGTACAACAATACAACGAAGTGCCAAAAATCCCTTCGTAATAATGGGTTAAAGTCCATACACCGTTTAAGAGTTGAGACCATTCTCAATTTACACTAAATCACTAATTTTTTTAGATTCTGAAAACCTAAGCAATGTTCTGATCCTCTAGTCTAAAATAGTTCAATCTTCAAATTCCAATGCAGGCCGGTTCAGACCTCAACCATCACACAATAATTAGCAGTTTTTTGTGCAATTAGAATTTCTGGAAATCATATATATAATATTTTACCAGACACTTGGACTAGTTTGAAGACAAGTTTACTGGTCTGCTGTAATTTTTATTAGTTCGCGGACGAGTAGACTACCTCGAATTTCGAACCCTGCCAGTACATTCTGACACCCGGGAGCTGACTGTCAGTGTCTTCTACTTTCTCAGTCCGTTTTCTCCCTCACCTTTTGTCTCACAGATCATGACGTTGCTGTATTCGCTTTCTCCTCCATTGTTGAAGCACTGCATCTTGATATCATAGGAGGTCTCTGGCTGGAGCTGGTCAATCAGGTGCCACTGTTTCATACCTGTATCAAGAGTGGGGCAGGGTCACTTTCAGTGACATCCTCTCAAGAGTCCACACCAACCCCTTAACCATCAGATGCTAAATGTTTCCCGCTACTGCTAAGCGGTACTCACCCCCACAAGTTCCCACTCTCTCTCTACATTCACAATTGCAAACACACACACACACACACTCACACACACTCACGCACTCACGCACACACACACACACACACACACACCATCTTTCTCCCTCACACTCCCTCCCTTTCTCCCTGCTATCTCTCAGGAGGCTGGTACTTTGTACAGCACTGGACAGCCTCCTTATAAGGATGCTGTGCGTTAGTTCTGGCCTGCTTCCAGCACTGCCACTGAGGGTTTGAGCTCTCAGACAGACTCTACATCCCAACGACACAATGAGCCCCTGCAAAAACACCGCCAGCTGCCACTCCAGGGACGCGGCCCAGACACGGGCAGCCTGCAGCAGGCCGTCCGCATATCAGCAGGACTTTAAATCTCGCAACACCTCCTCTCCCCTCTCATCTTACAAGACCCCTAAATCTCAACTGCTGCATATGAAACAGGCCGTTTGCAGGTACACACAGCTTTTAAAACCGCTGTGAGACTCAAAGCAAGGTGGACAGCAAGACAGCGGATAATTCCATTACCCATCATAACACTGTCTGCATTAGAGTGCGCCCAGAGAAGAGTGAGCTCAGGATCAGCCATTGCAGGATGATTGGAATATTATGGGCTCATCTCCAGATTATATAATGCATCACCTGATTCCCAGACCCGTCTCGCCTCCCAGGTAACACCAACACTCTCTGTGGTTATTAGCCGAAGAGCTTAGCTGGTTACAAATCCCTCAATTCGCACAACAATCATTCATACAAAAGCAAACAAAGACACACTACCATACAAAATCTGTCTGAACAAGTGCTTTAGTTCTATAATGAGGCATAATTTTTTTCCTCTGAAGTGGGATACACCGGCTTGCTTTAAATTTTTGCAATAGTTGGCTTGACGGATAAGATTTGTAAACCCCCGAAACAAGTCTTGTAATGAGTCAAAAGACCTGTTTTCTGTGGCAAGCTTTTTGTCTAATCCAGCAAAAAAAAAAAAAAAAAAAAAATGTAGTTGTAATGGAAAGAAAGAAGACTACATATAAGGAAAAAAATACATGTACTTTTTTGGTTTTTGGAGTACTCCATGAAATTCAATCAGGCAGACATACACCGAGAGACAGACATACACACAATAGACTCTCACACACACACGTGCATGCACACACACACACACACACACACACACACACACACACAAACATACACACATAGACGCGCAAGTGTAATTCAGAGAGTTCTGAAATCACTTCTGGGAGTGTTTCTCTCCGAGATACGGGAGCTGTGGCTCCCAGACAGCGAAAGAAAACGAACTGAGTGAGAAAAGTCCCATTTGTTGAGCCAAATTTTTTTTAGTATTCCTCCAACATTAAGAGTAGTTCCATCCACCAGATGCCAATTAAATACAATTTTTTTGCTGCCTCATTACCCTGAAACAACATTCAAACACCAATCCAACAAGCAAGCCCTTCTCTATCGCCCACCCTGTTGAAGCAGGAGTTGACCACGGGACTACCTTATTATGCACAAGAACATACTGCACTACCCCACAAAAG